ATATATATATATATAAAAGAGTTTGTTATTGTTCATAAGCCATATAGCCATGTAAGCCTAGCCGTGTTGGAGTGAGCTGTGTTAGCCGAGCTGTTTGCAAGTGCATGGGTGTAAAAATTAGGTTTTCCTTTTGTTTGTGTGGTTAATCTCTCTCTTTTCATCCATTTTTCCCATTTTCACACCCAATCTCAATCTCTCTCTTCATTCTTTCATAATTTTTTTCTTTTTCGTTTCTTTTTTGACGAAATTGATTTCCATTCGAAACAAAGTTGTGCTTTAATAGTCTGTTTGTTATAGTAATGTTTGCAATTTTTGATGTTCCTCTGTTTCTTTACAATCTTATAGTGATAGAAGCTGTTGAATTCTTCTTTGGAAGTTTTCCCATCCAAAAAAAATATATGAAATTTATCGTATCAAAAGAATGGTAGATGGACCTCTAAAGTTATATTGACATGGTCCTTGTAATCAGCATTAGAAATATGTAGCCAAATTTATGGATTTCTATGACAGCGTGACTTCTTCTTTTTTTTATCGTTAAACGTAAACTATATTGATCAAAAATCATGTACGAATACACTGGACATACTTGGGCAAACAAGATCAAGAATGCATACAAGTATACTGGGCATACTCGGGCAAACAAAATGAAAAGATATACAAACAACTAGATCTAATAATCCAATGACATAGACTCAAAATGAATCAAAACATACGGATACAAAGAAAACATGACTTTGAATACGTGTGTTTTAATCGTCTAACAACACTATCAACTTGCGGTCTTGGATCCTCATAAAAATTCTGTTTCACACCATCTATAAGAGGTAAGCGGTGGTAGCAAGTGCAACTCTCTTCGCCTTACTTTGCCAATATCTGCCTCGAACCTCCTTTTTAATCCACTTCAATGCACGAGATAAAGTAGATATAGAGCATCTAATGTCAAGCCACACATGAATCTTCCCCCATATAGATGCACCGAACTGATAGGTGAAAAAAAATGTGTCATTCCGTCTCCACCGTAACTCTACAAAAACAGCAATTTCGATCTATCTCCAAGTGCCTTAATTTGTCATTAGTTAACAACTTGGACTTAACTCTAAGCCACATGATAAAAGTGTGCTTAGGGGTGATAGAAGCATTCCAAACAGTTGCTGCCTTGCTACCTTCTGCCCCGTCAATCTAAAATATTCATAAGCAGCCGCAATGATGAAGCTGCTTGAGACTGTCCAATTCGCCAACCTGCTTGATGCGGTTTGAACGGTGTGTTCAGGCCATAAAATCTGGTCACATATTTCCAAATATAGGATTTAACTTCTTTTTTTCTATTTTTAATTACACTTTCTTCAAAAAATAACTATTATAAAACCAATTCTTCCAAAAAAAAAAAAAAGTGGGGCTCAAACGGTGCCTGAGAAAGCTCGTTCTAAAAATTCTATTGACTTCAAGTTAGTACATCAAGTCTTTGTACTAACTTGATTAAGTCTTCTTTCCTTGTTCAAGAAGGCTTAGATTGATGTAATATGTCGAAAACTTGAAATTTAAGTGTGCGTTTGATTGTCAATATTTTCCGTAAAAATGTGTTTTTTCCACATAATTTCCTACTTTTTTGATTAACAATTTTTTTAAAGAAAATATCTTCTTTGGAGAGGCAGGATTTTATTTCCCATGGAATTAAAACTTTCCAAAAATTCTAGTTTATTAAAACTTC